CGTACGTTTCTCCATTGTATGCTGAAAGTTTAGGTGGTTTGCCACCAATATTAGTGGTAAATATCTTTTTTTTTGAAAAAATTGAACATTTACGTGATAAATCAATCTTGCAACAATAACAAATAATTTTTTGTTGTATAGCAAACAGGCGATGGAGAAATATTAAGAGATGAAAATATCTATTTTGCTTATAAAGCTGCTAATCCGGAAAAATACAATTTGCCCCATTACAATGCTGAAAAATTTAAAAATTCTCCTTATAAAACACCTACAAAAGTTGTTCTTGAAGTTTATCAAGAAATGCCTCACGTCTTCCAGGTAAATTTCACAAAGTTATAAATTTAAAAATTGCGCAAAATAATAATAGTGATAATAATAATATTGGTGATGATAATACTTTCAAAATAGCTATTTACGGGCAACAATATATCATCAACGATAGCCTTTGAACGAACAGCTGAATTTATTGAACAATTATTATCAGGCAAAGGGGAAAAAGAATTAAAAGCTTTACAGATCACATACAAAGGTGAAATTATTGAAAAGTTGAAAGATGAACATTACAAGTTACTTGAATGGGAAAATGTTGGTATTGTTCCATCTGACATCGAAACAGTTTATCGTACTAGACCGAACAATAATAAGTCGTAAATATGAGTGAGAGGTGGCTTTTTCGAGATTCCATATTATCTATCTATTCATTTATTCATTCATTTACCTTAGGTCGGAAATTTGATTAATTTCAATTTTAATATTGTAATTATTGTTTATTTGACTTAATTCTTTTTTTTTCCAATAAATTTTTCATTGCCGTTAAAATAACTGATTTTGACAAAAAACCTCCACAAGCATGGATTTTTGAAGAAATTGGGAAGCAAGCGATGACTTGTTTTATTTATTTCAGAGTTGAATTAAATAAAAATTGCTTCTTTTCAGTTCTTTTATTGACGTGAGCTTTCTTTTTGAGGCGCCTGCTCATATTACTACCCAATCATAATCCATTGTCATGATCTGAGCCATTAAAAGGTTGTCTTGTTCTAGTTGAGAAAGAGCTTGAAAGGATTCGTGTAATTCTACAAACTCTTCCTTTGGGACCATTGATGAACAATCGCAATCACAGCCTACTTTCAAAAAAGAAGGGTTTTTCGGAACCACCACTATGTTTACTTCATATACATATAGACAGACCCTATCTATATATAAACTTTAACACTTTGTAAATAAACGAAAAAAAAAATAATGATTATTAACATCCATCAATTAGTTAGATGCTTAGGAAAGACGCTATGTTTGGCCACATGTCTCAAAACATCATGGTGTTATGGTAAGGTTATTGTGCCAACTACTTTTAACATGGCGAATTTAACATCAAACCAAGTGTTTTGAATTGGGTGACATTTTCCTTTAGTTCTTCCTAAAAAGGAATTATATTTTATTTTCACAGGAAAAAATTTTAATTAATAAACTTCTTTATATGGGCAAAATTTGTCGCGCCAAAAAATTGATACTGGAATCAGTCCTATTGAAAAAAGCATAGTGGAAATTTGAAATGTTGCACTAATTTTTTATATTGTGCAACGTAGCTTTACAATACATGGCAAACATTCTGGCAATAAAAAGTAAGTGATAAAC